ATTTTTAAGGTTATTATTTCTAGGATCAAATGCAATTACTAGTTTTTTTATATATTATGTAATATATTTATTTTTATTTATAATTTACAATGAAATTAAGTATAATATTAAGCGACAATAAAACGTATTATAACATTTATTTAATTTCTGCAATATTACTGTTTTATATAAAATTTAGCATAATATTAAGTGAATATAAAATATATATATATATACAATATTTTTTTGTTTGATAAAATTGTTGATAATGTTTTCAAAATTATTGGTTGTTAGTGTTTATTTTTAATTCCAAAACTGTTGTTAATTTCAAAAAAGGATCCGAAAATTGCAAATTGTATTTTATTGATATAATTATAATAATAAATTGTGTTTAGAGATTAATACGAAGTTTATGTCAAGTTATCATTTTTACTAAGACATGTCATAGTTTTAATCCAATAAAATTTAAATAAATAAGAGATTTTACTAATTGCACATCCTTTTAATACTAAGAGGATTAATTAGATGAAAAATGTACCTAATAATTATGAGAAAGAGAAGCAATCTACCAAAATATCTTCTAGAATTTATCATTAAAAAAGGTTATGAGAATGATATGCAACATACAAAATATTTTTTGAAATGTTGAAAACATACGTGAAAATGTACAATAAAAAAAATTAGAAAAATTTACCTAGAATAACCTTTTTTTTTTTTTAAATAGTTAGAATAACTTTACCATTTTTTTTATTGCTGAAATAATCTATTCTGGATTTTTTTTCTTTCATAATACCAAAATTGTCCTTGGCAGACTCTGCCGAGGTATTGGCAGACTCTGCCGAACATTGGTAGACTCTGCCAATATTCGGCAGAATCTGCCAATGTTTTGGCAGAGTCTGCGTATTTCTAGATATTGGCAGAGTCTGTCAATACATCGGTAGAGTCTATCAATGTTTTCGCAGAGTCTGCCAATACCTCGGCGGAGTCTGCCAATGTTTCGGCAGAGTCTACCAATGTTTCGGCAGAGTCTGTCAATGTTTCGGCAGAGTCTGTCAATGTTTCGGCAGAGTCTGCCAATGTTTTGGCAGAGTCTACGTATTTTTAGATATTGCCAGAGTCTGCCAATACATCGGCAGAGTCTGCCAATGTTTCGGCAGAGTCTGCCAATATCTCGGCAGAGTCTGCGAAGGATAATTTTGGTATTATGAAAGAAAAAAAATCTAGAATAGGTTATTTCAGCAATAAAAAATAGTAAAATTATTCTAGGTATTTTAAAAAAAAAAAGTTATTCTATCTAATCTCCCAAAAAATTATGATAAAAAGACAATGATTTTTCAAAGTACTTTTAGAATGATTAAACAATGGTTATAATAGAAAAAGTATCATAATAAAATTTTTTTTTACATAATACTATTTGGTCACATAATATTTAATAAAAGTAAAAACTACATATAAATATGAAACATCTTATATATTAAAACAAAAAAAAGTTTCCAACACATCCTATATAGAGAAACAGAGAAAGTATATAACAATTATGATCAGAAGTATATAACGAAAATGTATGATAAAAAAACGGAACCATAAGATATTGTTCTGTACGATCAAAAGACATAACCCTAAAACGGAGTATTTTTTTAGAATTGCTATTATAAATTTAATAGATGATGTTTTATAACTTTGCTATGAAGTTCAAATATTCTCATTAAAGAATCTTCTGAATAAAACACAAATTTGAAAAGAAAACGGTAACAAGCTATTCATAATTTGAATTTGAATTTGAATTTTGTTTCCACTCTTACCTTTCTGTCTTTCTCTCTCATCACTTGAAAAAAAAAAAAAATCTCTCTGATTCCGATTTTCGCCTTCCAAAATCAAATTCCTGCGTCTGCTTCATCTTCTTTGCCAAATGGGTTGCTGTTTCAGCAAGAAGACTTGTTCATCTTCTCCAAGTGGCGGATCTTGCTCAGATCCGAACAAATCCGCCATTGATAAACCTCCGAAACCAGAGACCGAAGCACAAGAGAAGATCAAAATCGAAGAATCTAAACCAACCAATGAAGTAGTAGAGCTACAACAAGAGGAGAACGCGAAGACAAGGAAAGAGGTGTTCGTGATAAAACATCGGAGAAGCCACGAAACAACATCCAAGACGACGACAGATCCGGAAAATTCACCGGAGAAATCAACCGATTCGAATCAGAATCTAGTAGATGTGGATGCTATATTGATTCAGTGCGGGAGACTAAGCCGGAGCAACTCAGCCGCCGCCGCTGCGAAAACAAGAAGATACTCTGGATCTAAACGGAGCTTCGACGGTGATGCGGAGGAGGCGGATGTTGAAGACGGCGGTGAAGAAGAAGAAGCTGAAAGACGGATTCATCGGAATCGAAACCGTGGAGGAGATTCGCCTCGGGATCGGAGAAGACGAACACCGAGCAGAGAAAGGGAAGATTCAAAGAGTTATCGATCTGGAAGTAGAGAGAGAGGAAGTGGTGGTGGTAGTAGACGGGTAAGTAGATCTCCGGGAAGAAGATCGGAGACAAACCCAAACCTTAATTCCTCCGCCGTTAGTGGCGGTTCTGTGAGTTCGAGTAACAATAATAGACCAGCGAAATTTGTCTCGGTTCCTGCAACGGAGAAGAGCAACAACAATGGAGGAGATCCATCTATCAAACGGATTACAGTCAAGAGAAACGTCGGAAAAACGGCGTCTCCGAGGTCACAGTCACCGGCGAGAGCGGCTAGTCAGCCTTCGCCGTCAAAACTTAGCCGGAAAACAGAGCTTTCTCCGTACAGGAGGAACCCATTGGGTGAGATTGATCCAAACTCAGTACCTCAAGGGGAGAAATTGGGATCTAATTGCAACAAGAAGATGATGAACAGAGAAAATGAAACTCAAGGATTGATCAAAGAATCTGGAAACTTTGTTGCTCAGGTACAAAATCTCTAACTAGATCTTAATAAATCTAGTAAAGTATTTGGTATTGTTGGAATCAATTGTTTCTGCTTCAGAAGTTGAATCTAATCAAGTATTTGGTGTTAAGAGATTTAGATGTTTATGTTATCAGAAATTGAATATAATCTAGTATTTGGAAGTGGTTTGTATCAAGTTAAGAGCTTTTTGATGTTTATGTTTTGCAGAAGTTGAATCCTGTGGCGAATACGAATACGAAAACCGTTAGACAAGCTCCAATCCGCAGAAGCGCAAGCCCGAATCGCGTAATCATCAAAGAGCAACAACAAGAGGCAGTGGAAGAGTGTAAGATAGTGTTGTCATCTGGAACTGAACTCCCTAAGCCTCAAACTGTGAGCAGGAGCAGATCGTTGAGGAAATCCCGTGATTTCGATTTCAGTCCCGAAGTATTGCTCTCGAACAACATCGAAAACAACAATACCGCAGCAGCAGTATTACCGTCTTACACAGCTTTGCTTTTAGAAGACATTCAAAATTTCACACAGAAGAGTGTCAATGTCAATGTCAATACCATAAGTTCCAAGGCTTGTTCCATTGTTGAAGCGGTTGTAGATCTTAGCTCGACTACGAAGAAGAAACACGAAAGAACCGAGTTCCACAATTTCACATCCGTAGCAGCAGCAGCGAAGAAAGCGGATCTAATGGAGCCAAGTTTTGAAAAGTATGTGACTGTTAAGAGAGGCAGTTCTTCGATGGAGGACACGGAAGCGCAAGAATCTTCAGGAAGCAACAGTTTCACAGGAAGTAGTGGTCTTATGCAGCAGTCTCCTTCGTGGGAACCGAATTCAGCAGAATCGACAGATCGAGTAAGTGTGAGATCAAACAAACAAGAACGTGATCGGAGTCCACTTGGTTTGAATGTTGAGTTTGATCCGTTAAAGAAGAATGGTGTTGGAGTTGGACGCAAAAGAGTGGCTAGTGTTGATTCAACACCGATTCGTGTTGCTCCAGTTTCAATGTAATAGTGAAAAAATCTTGTTTCTTGCTTGTTATTGTACTTTTTGCTTCCACGGTTTGCAGAGTAGCAACCAGAGTTTGGTTTGTTTTGTAATCATTTGATCATTTCAATTGAATATTCCATCTTAACAATTCACAAAACCAAACTACGGAATCAAGATCGGAGCAATAGCATTCTTAGTCAGACCACACAAGCCTGGTTGCCACCACTCCGCACGTCTACGAATCCTGATGTAACCATTCTCTCCCCAAGTCTTACCCCATGAGTTCTTAGCTATCCAGTATTTGATCCCTTCATGGCTCGACCCCGTACCCAACCACCGTTACTGCATGATTCACGTCGGTCCCACAATCCGGGTCATCGTACACTCCCCCTGAATAATGGAAGAAACTTGCAATTCTCGCAGTAATGCACACCGAGACTCGGCGTTGCCAATTAAAACGTTAGTGTACCCTAGGATCCGTCCCGAGGGTGTAGCGTTAAACCGGCAATTCCCCTGTTTCATTTGGTAAGGATATGCATTTTCTGAAGCAATGCCTTTGTTTTCAATGTACTCGTACGCTTCTTCCATTGATCCTCCCTTGCAACCATTGTTATTCGCTTTGTCGCAATCAATAAGTTGCTGTTCGGACAGGGATACCAGCTTCCCACCTTCGATTTTTATAGATCCTTCAACCGCTGCAACCGTTGCAAACGCCCAACTACTTCCTGCATATAACTTTTGATTAATATTTCAATTTGATACAAAAAGCTTTTATAACCCTATACCTAGAGTTATT